CCAAATGTCCGTTCCAAGAAAACATCGGTCTTGTCGATCCATTCATTGGTGACCTGACCCTGACTTGCGCGGCCTGTGTACATCCACTCACGGTCCTCCATCCTCTAACATATATAGCAACGAGTAATATAAACATCAATTGCATCTACATGACATTCCTACTATCTAATAGGTAAGGATAGGTCCTAATCCCACGTGAGGATGCATAGGTGAGGTTAGTTTCCATACTCTACTCCTATCCGAGACAAAATTTCAGCAGCACCTCCTCCGCTGTTCTCCAAATACACGTCCTGCTAGGGAGAGTGTGTATCCGGAGAACAACAGGGAGATAATGCCGAAACTTTATCTCGGATCGGAGCAGACCATGGAAACTAACTCCACCTATGCATCAGCGGGCTATCCAAAAATCGTGGACAATTCGAAACAGATACGGTTTTAGATATGAAAATATCTGCATATTTTCAATCGTATCTCTTTCGAACGGGAGACGCCTAACTGGGTTACATGATCTATGACCATGATACGGAAAAGAGGTGTTATACCTAGGGTGGCGGTGGAGTCAGGCTAGCGGGGCCGTGGCGGGTCGGTGCAGTGGTGAGGCGACGCGGTGCAGGCAGACCCACAGCGGCGAGGAAGGCGATCGGGGTTGTCGAGGTACTCCGGCTCTACTCCGACGGGCTCTTCTCTACAAAAAAAGAAACATAAAACTATCAATACATAATTTTGGCAGCACCTCCCCTGCACGGTGAGGTTTTCAAAACCTACAAGAAAACCAACGGCATGATGGCCGACATGCACATATATATGAACGGCACGATGGCCGACATGCACAAGATTATATCCAACCACATATATATAATAATGTCACAACCACTCCTACGACTACCACCACTGCTACTCTACCACTACTACTACCGCAACTACTAGTAATACTACAACGACGACGACGGTAGGGCATACCTAGTGGGCGTCGTAGGGCGGCGGTGGTGAAGGGGCTAGGGCGCCGGTGGACAAGGCGACGGCTGGGGAAGCGCCGGGGACGTGGCAACGGCGGCCGGGCGCCTCCTCCTCCTCCTTCTTCCTCCTTCCTCCTTCCTCCTCCTCTTCCTCCTTCTTCCTCCTCCTTCCTCCTCTCCTCGTCTCCTCCTCCTCTCTTTCTCCTCCTCCTCCGACGGCGCGGCGCGGGTGGGGACGGTGACGGTGGCACTGGCGTGGGCGCGGGCGCGGGCACGGGCGCGGGCGCGGGCATGGGCGTGCGTGTGTGCGGTGTGTGTGGACCGGCTGGGCCGAGAGGTTAAATCCCCCCTTTGCCGAGTGCCCCGATCTGGCACTCGGCAAAGTTTTTTTTTAATTTTTTTTAATTCTTTGCCGAGTGCCACCTGGCCTGGCAATCGACAAAGAGGGTTTTTTAAAAATCTTTGCCAAGTGTCCCCGATTTGGCACTCGGCAAAGTTTTTTTTTAATTTTTTTAATTCTTTGCCGAGTGCCACCGGCCTGGCACTCGACAAAGAGGGTTTTTTTTAAAAAAAATTGCCGACAAATAGGGGTTTTAATTTTTTTAAAAAAAATTCTTTGCCAAGTGCCCGGACGTATGGCACTCGGCAAAGAGGTGATTTGCCGAGTGTCATTTTATGACACTCGGCAAACCATATTTTTTTTATTTTTGACATCCAAACTTTTTCTGCGGTTCTCATACAATACCTGGTACTCCATGTTACAATGTGCCACATTTCTTAGACTTTTTCTATATTTCTTTAATTTATTTTATTTAATTGAATTTTCTTGGATAATTCAAATATAACTGCTAGTCATTCGAATAATGAAAAAATGAATGGAAAAATGATATTCATGTTATTTAGTATAATGTGAGGCCGTCTCCAGGATTAGACCACCAATTTCGAACATCTTATTCACGAAACATGACCACGAACTTGTGGTCGAGTTGTTTTTAAATTCTATAAAAAACAAATGAAGTCCGAAAATCATAAAACTTGTCACGATGTCATGATATCATATGTGAAGACTGTGATAAAAATTTGAGAAGGTTTTGCGCAAGTTATCACGTGTGTGAAATCTTCTCAAATTTTTATCACAGCCTCACATATGATATCATGACATCTTGACAAGTTTCATGATTTTCGGACTTCGCATGACAACTTGCGCGAAAACTTCTCAAATTTTTATCACAGCCTCCACATATGATATCATGACAGCTTGACAAGTTTCAAGATTTTCGGACTTCGTTTGCTTTTTATAAAATTAAAAAAAAACTCGACCGTGAGTTCTTGGTCATGTTTCGTGAACAAGATGTTCGAAATTGGTGGTCTGGTTCTAGATACGGCCTCACATTATAATAAAAAACATGAATATCATTTTTCCATTAATTTTTTCATTATTCAAATGACTAGCCGTTATAATTTGAATTATCCAAGAAAATTCAATTAAATGAAATAAATTAAAGAAATATAGAAAAAGTCCGAGAAATGTGCCACATTAGAACATGGAGCACCAGGTATTATATGAGGACTGTAGAAAAAGTTTGGAGGTCAAAAGTGAAAAAAATATATGGTTTGCCGAGTGTCAAAAAATGACACTCGGCAAATCACCACTTTGCCGAGTGTCAGAAGAAGACACTCGGCAAAGGGGTAACGGCGGCTGCCGGCCGTTAACAACGGCGGCCCTTTGCGAGTGTCAGGAGAATAACACTCGGCAAAGCCAATTTTACCGAGTGTTATTGTTTGCCGAGTGCTCGGCACTCGATAAACCACCTCTTTGTCGAGTGTCAGTTGGTTGCCGAGTGCTTTATCTCTGGCACTCGACAAACAGCCTCTTTGTCGAGTGCCTGATAAAAAACACTCGGTAAAATCTGGGACACTCGATAAAAAAGCCGTCTTCGGTAGCGAAGGCTCCAGGAAAAACCCTGTCGAACTTCTTGCCACTGCCGCCACTGCAGCTATGGTTAGGTTCTTTGATACAACATCAACATTGATCATCATGATGCTTTCCTATGGTGGAATTCAACGTCTTTTGTGGTTTTGACATCTCGAGTTAAGCTAGATAGCGCTCAATGAACATTGGGTCAAAAGAGGGCTTTGGAATGAGCCCTCGTGTATTGCTTTCCTTCGGGCATGCCAACGAATTGCCCATAGCGTCACCGATATTTTAATCACATCCTCCCGTGGTAGTCTAGCAAAAACCGTAGCTAGCCATCCCTTCGGCTCTTGTTCTATATCTCGCACATATGATGAGTGAATGCTTCCGGTGATCTGTCTCACCATAAAATGCACTAGCGCTTTGAGGTGCCACGTTTCTATGGTGGAGAACGTTGCCTGATGGAAGGTAATGGCGAGCTAGTCATCACAGGAACATCCGGATCTTAATTGGAACCTGAACTTTTCACAGGGTCGTCTACTCGCTCCTTCATCACCGTCGTATCTGATCGGCCCGGTCTTCCTTCAAACCATGTGGTCGCATTCTCGGTGAGCATCCTATAGGCTGAGCGCGAACCGAAAACACCCCTTGTCATCATGCTACCAAACCCAGAAATCCGTCTGCAAAACACCTCTTGTGTCGTCTCATATTGGACAATCCTAATAGTTGAGGGACTACTTGGAATGCGGGAAATATTTTCTGTTTCAGCGCTTTTTTGTGAAATTAAACTGATTCCTGCGTTTTTTCTGTGAAATTGAATTGATTCATGTGAAATTTCTACGCGATTTCTGCGTTCCAAACAAGCCTTGAAACGGTAATTATTCTCCTGTTCGGTCGTCCGTCCGTCCGTCTGGACCCCTCCCACGTTTCCGCTCACGGAACGGACCCCACCGTGCCACCCCCGTCCCATCGCCCGTTCACTCTATGCCGTTTGCGTGCCGTGTGCCCTCCTCATGGGACGGATCTCGCCCTTCCCCGCACCGCCCTGGTTCGCGCCGCGCGCCCCTGCTCGTGGGATGGATCTGACCCTCCCCCGTGCTATCCCCTCCTATACTCACGCCTCCCGTTGCGGCCGCACTCCATCCACCTGCCAAGGTCCGTGCCGCCGCCGAGCTCCACACCGGCGACCTCCGCGCCACTCCGTAGCATCGAGCTCCACGTCGGTGTCGAGCTCTGCGTCGACGAGCCACCATTTTCATCCCAGCAGCAAGTAGATGTTGCACTTGAAAGCGTACGTTGCAAGTGTCAGTTTTAATTGTTTCAGATGTTTTAGAGGTAAGTGTTCCATATGGATGTTATAAAAGTAGATCAAGATGTTGCAATGGTTGTACACATATATTGCAAGTGTGTTTATCTGGATGTTGCATATGTTTCACATATATGTTTGTAAGTGTTTTATCTAGATATTGCATATATTTTTCAATGGTTTCAAGTGTTTTTCAGGTGTTTTTACAAGTGTTTCAGATGCATATTTCAAGTGTTTCATCTGCCTAGCTTCAGACGTATGTTGCAAGTGTTACATTTAAATGTTTCAAAAGTAGATTAGATGTTGCATCTCCCTCCCCGCCTTCTGCTGTCTTGTCTCAATGTCTCATCCCGGCGTCACGCTGGGCATCCACCGCCTCCTCCCTCTCTTCTCGATGCGGGTGACATTGGGGACGGCACAGGTCCCACGTGGGCATGCGAAATGGCGTGGAAAAATGACCGCAGGCGTGGGTATCCGGACGTCCCGTCCATCCGGACGTCCGGGGACTAGCAAATCCGTAGTTGAAAGGGTAAATACACTTTTTTTTCATTTCTCGATGACACGTGGACCAAGTTCGGGCTATGATCCAAACAGATTTTGGCCTTTCAACTTTTCAAGGCCTACCAAGAAACCCCTACGAGAAATGGGCCATTAAACCCAAAGCAACGCCACTCTCGTGGGCCCTGGCCCGTCTAGTAAGCCCCCGCCCTTGCGTCAGAAATTCTAACCAACGCGAGTACGCGACGCGGCGGTCGGCGGCGACCGACAAGAAGAGAGAGAGGGCGGAACAGAGGGGGGAGAGAGAGAGAGAGAGAGAGTGCACATGGAGGAGCTCTCCAAGAAGGCTCCGGCACCAAGCTTGCTTTCGCTGTGCCTGGACACGGTCGCTGCTCGTCTCATCAGCGACAACGCCGGCGCAGGCGGAGGCGTGGGCCGAACGGTTTGGCCAGGAGGGTGCAGCGGTCTCGGCGGGTTCTCCGAAGATGACGGAGGGGAGTCAGACGACGACCGCCTGCAACCGGAGGAGGTGGCGGAGGGGCTTCCCTGGGAGCTTCTCCATCGGCTGGCGTCCCGGCTCCCGCCTGTCGCACTCGAGTCACTCCATCACGCCGCCCATGCCCGGTACCCTTCCCCTCTCCCTTTCGCTACCAATTCGTACACAACAACAGGACGCCCATTCCTGTGCCCGTTTATCTTCTATTGCTATTCCAATTTGCACATCACCTGTTGTTTCCTCTGAGAAAATCGTGCATCTTCATAAAGGAAGAGCTAGATGTTATGCTCATAATTTCTCGTTCCAGGTGCTGCTCTTCTGCTAAAACTACTTCTGGACTTGGAGTGCAAGATGGAGACAGACGTGGGGTGAAACGTTCAAGGTTTTGCAAGCATTTATTTATGCATAGAAAAACATGTTTTTGGCGTACCGTGTTAACAGTACTGTAATACAATGGGCTGAAGACAACAATCGGCAGCACCAGCATTTGTTTCAATACCTGACCTGACATATATGATACTGCTCTCAGGTGTGAAGACTTCAACACCACTTGGCAATTGTTGTTCAAACTTCGCTGGCCCCTCTATGGTAACACTGGACATAATAACTTGGTCACTGTGGACTGGCAGCAAAAGTATTGGGAAAAGCATTTACAAGAGTATGCTATCAGTGATTTGTGATTGGGTTTTATGAATGAAATGCCTTAACCCCTTAAACACAAATTGCCAATCCTTTTTTTCCCTCCACAGGTGCTTGGATGAAGCTGCAGAGTGTGCCTTTCTTCCTTCTTTTTGTGGGAGTATTGGTGAGCTGAGTATATCAGGTTAGTATCCTGTTTTCCTTCATGACATGTCTACCATATTGTCATTCATTTGTTACCAACTTAACATTGCTTGGTTAACTGAGTAATTGCCCTCTTAGTTTTAGAAAGTAAACTGGATTATTTTAAAAATATCTTTAGCTAACAATGTGATACCCATTTACTCCCTCTGTCCTCGTATAGAAGGCGTAACCGTTTTTTCACGCGTTCCGCAATAGAGGGCCTGGTTCACTTGCCTCCTTTTTTATGGGCATGCAAACACGCGCCAATTAATTCTTCAAAAAAAAAAACACGCGCCAATTATTGCTCCTTCTACCATGCTGCCGGCTCTGCATGCTGCTGCACTGCAGAGCGACCGTTTGATTGGCCATGTGTGCCTGGATGAGAAATCACCAAGCTAAATGCATGATTAAAAAGAACAGCAGCACGGTCATCAACGCACGGTAAATTAGTTGTTAGATAGAGTAAAAGTTGTTCTTGGGCTTTGTGTGGAAGGAGTTGCGCCTTCTATAGCATGACGGAGGGAGTACTGTTGAAGTGACTACTGTTTATAGTTTTGTATAGTATTGGCAGAACTGACATTAGTTACTAGAAATTATCTTTAACTAAAAAATGTGATAGCCCATTTACTGCTGCAATAACCTTTCTGTTTTTGTTCATGATTGAGCAGCTAAAATCATGAATTCCATCTACCAGAGCATGGACACATCTCAACATCATTCAAGACTAGAATATCAATGCAGCAAATTTGGTTGCTATGTGAGGTGCCAGCATACGACGATTGTTGTACATATGCATTTCTTTTTTTATTAACATTTTTTATCTTTTCAGCAATACTTGCCAATTATGAATATTCTATTAATTAAAAATACACATGACATGATTGAGGGCCCTGTGATATATGATAATTTTATGCGATTTTATATGTCCTACAGTGTTGATGTAACAAATGAATCTATGTTGGACTTGCTTGTTTGATTGTTTGTTATTTGCTTGTAGTTCTTCAGTATCAACGTTGCCCCTTATTTTTCAGGTGCTTGAGACTGCAAGGTGTTCTTTGCACTGCAGAAACTTATGTAAGTGCTAAACTGCTGATCCGCTTTATAGTAGCTTAGAGCTCTTTGTATTTATACTCTATTTTCTTTTATATAGCTGATGTTGTGAGTTTATTGTGTTAGTTGTGCTCTCGTGTATGCATCCGTGTTCTCATTTTGTCAAATGGGAGTATCTATATCATCTTTGTAATTATCTTTACACATGGTTCCAGAATACATTTATTATCCATGTCATTACATATCTATTGCAGTATGGTGAATCTTTTTTAGGATGTTCATATGATTGCACGTTGACTGCTGGGTATCCTTTGTCTCTCAGGACTTGTTGCAACAATGCAAGCTGGAAAGATTAATGTTCATAAGAATTATATCAGACCCAGAGGTAAACTTAAGCCTCTGATAGTACCTTTACTGTTGCATAAACAACAAAATATATCATGATGATCATTCTTTGGAATCAGCTGAAAGCATAGAGATGCTCACAATTTTAGTTTTGCATGTGCACAATTTTTCTTCAACTCTATGAAAGAAATAATAATTTCCCAGTTTTATTTTTGCATGTTCTGTTTAAATTTGAATATTAAACAAGCTGATATTGTTAGTCATCAACTTGTTTCGGTACGACCATTCTGCATGAGCTCGAGTTGTCCATGTGTTGTACTGCTCTTTTCAGTGGCATGATAGTAAGTCAGCAACGGTTCATTGGGGTTTGAAGTTTCTTCTGAATTTTCATTGACAGGTTAATGGTGCATGTTTGCTTCTGAGCTGGCATGCAGAGACACTGCTTTCTCTTGAATTCATCCATTGTCAGCTTTATCCTACCGTCATAGATAAAATTTGCAGGAGTTTGTTCCAGAAGGGATCTCAAAGCCATGGAATCCAACGATTTAGCATTAAATCTTCACAAATCTGTGAAACCAAGCCTCTGACCATCTCTTCTGGTCTGTTAAATTTTTTGTCATCTGGCAAGTAAGCTGCATGCCATTCAATATTCATAATTGAAATATTATGGATTGACAAACAAATGAACCATATCTTTAGTTTATTTGTTCTACTTCTACAGCAGCTTCCCATTAGTATTAATCATGGGGTATTGACCATTTATGTGTTTTTGAGTAGTTTTACTTATATGGATTTGTTATATCGATACTTGATAGTCCATTTCAGTGTGAAACATTTAAACACCGTTCAATCCTTACAATTGTTCAGGTCGTTGCACCTGCTGTCACTTAATGATACTAAGATGCAGTCATCACTGGCTCAGATGATTATTCACACTCTTCTTGAGTCGTCATGTGATTTACACACGCTTGAGATATCAGAAAACAATGTGGGTTGACATGAAAAAAATCTATTCTTTATTTCTTTTTACATATTTTATACCCATTAAATTGGTTGTTTCTTGTAGATTGCTGGCTGGCTTTCGAAACTGAACAAAAGTTCTACAAACTCATTAGCACTGAAATCAGATATTTTTATGAACTCTCTGTCCGTTCTTAACCTGAGGTATTACTTTGTACCTGCCATAATTAGCTGTTCAAGAAACTTCTGTAGCAGGTTATTTTCAGATTCTGATGGCCTAATTGTGTGTTTTGCATTTCTTGATTCTTATCATTCCAGGGAAAATAATTTGCAAAAGGCTGATGTTGTAGATCTTCACAAAATTCTAATAAAAATGCCTAATTTAAGAGATTTAGATATAAGTGGCAATCCAATCATGGATGAAGGTATCAGGTACTGTCTGACATAACAGAATATCCATCAGTATCCTACAATGATCAATACAGGGTGTACAATTGTTTTTCCATGTCTGTTTTTTTTGAACGGGAAATACAGCAGGGGAAGCCCCCACTGTAGGATTTTATTAAATAAAAACAGAAACCTGTACAAAAGAAAGAGAAATAACAACAAACCAACCAGCCGGAGGGCTGAGGTAGCCACGGCGGGAAGGGAACCGCAGGCCAAAAACCAGGGAGGCCTAAGAGAGGAGATCTAAACAGAGGAGAAAAGCTACACGTTTATCATCTCTCATTCTAAAAGCCTGAAGTTTGGCCTCTTCACAGAAGAGGTTTTTCCAAGAAGAGAAAGAAGGCCGGCCTCTGTCAAATATAATTTTTCCATGTCTGTGTTCAGTTTGCCTTTAGCTTTCTTGCATAAGTACATTACTTCTCAATATTTGTGATAAAGTGCCTCAATCAAGCTGGTTATTGTTGATTTACTGAAGCACTCATCAGTTTCACTTAAATTGCAGATCAATGATCCCTTTCATTTCATGGTCTATTCAAAAGGAAAATCCACTTTTGAGATTAACAGTCGAGAACTGTGAGTTGTCCAGTATTGGTGTGATTACACTTCTGGAGTGCCTCACAACTGTGAAGCAACCCCTTGATGTGCTATCTATTGCAGACAATCATTTAGGGAGGTGAGTTGTATCTCTTTTCATGCATTTTGTCCTGCTGTGCTGTATTAACTTGTGTCAACATATTAATTGAAATGTGCTTGCAGTTCTGTGGCAGCTGCAATGGCCAAATTCTTGAGTTCACATGTAAGGGCTTTAAATGCTACAGATATTGGCTTGGGAACATTCGGCTTCCAAATACTTGAGGAAGCATTGCCAACAGAAGTAGCTCTTTCCCACATCAACATCAGGTTAGAACCAAGCACTGCCCCTCACCATAGATGTCAGTTTCTTCACTGACATTTTTTATATTTTGCAGTAAGAATCGTGGTGGGATCAGAGCAGCATATTTTGTTTCCAGATTAATAGGGCGAGCACCAAACCTTGTCTCAGTCAATGCAGCAGCGAACCTTTTACCACCTGAATCATTGGAAGTCATCTGTAACTCCTTGAAGCAAGGGACTTGTAAGAAATAAATGCTTTACCAAATTCACTTTTACTTCTTTTGCATTAGGAAAATCCATACATGTATGGATGAAAATGGATCGGATAAAAATGGGCAATGTACAGATACGATTGTGGGTAGTTCTTTTTTTCTCATATTCAGTTAGATATGGACTCAGATAGTGTTGGGTATGTTTGGATATTGATACCCATCCCATATATGTATTTGATATCTGACTTTAAGTTTTCAGATTCAAATGTGGTATGGATATTGAATGTCCGGATTTAGATACAGATTATGGATTATTCATTTAGTATTTGAATCTCTTTCGGGCGGACAGATATCGTGAAATATCTGTCCCGTTTTCAACCCCTAGCTGATAGAGATTGGTTAATAACTAGTCTTTCCTTGTTTTAGGTAATTTGGAGAGAGTGGACCTGACTGGCAACATGCATTTATCAAGCAGTATTTTTCCTGCATTCCTTGAATTCAAGAAGCATGGAAAGCCAATTCTGGTAGTCCCACCAAACGTGAGCACTTGTGCTCCATATGATGATGACCCATGACTATTATGTACCGGATAATCCCTAGTGCTGCTCAAGTCACGTCAGATGGAACTAAATAGGGCCACACCATTAGTGATGTATTTGTTGTGTCATCTGGGCATAGACTGTGTGGTCAATTGGTCATGCTTTGTTAGAATGAATTATCTGTCTGCTGGTTGGGTCCGTTTGGTCTCGTGATGGTACTACATACTCAATGTGAGCAATGATAAGGTGGTTGCCAACAAGGTTGGGTGGAAGAATTGGGGGTGGACCAAGCACATTTGGGTGCCCAAGGAGGTGACCAAGAACATGGATCAGACTCAAAATGTTGTGCTCCCCAACACATTTGTATGCCATTTTAGGGAATTTGGAAACTTAGCATACTAGGGATGCATGAATGGATGTGCATCATATTGTTTCAAGTAAATGCCAATTGGGTAGGTTTGTATCTTTTACCAAAGTTCCTCTTCCCCATGCCAAGGTAATGTGAATGTCCTATCAAGCATCGTATAGACACTACCATCTGTAGGATTGCATTTCATATTTAAATTTGTTCCCTACACTTTTATGTGGGATCATAGATTTTACTCTGTAATTGATATCATAATCAATGTGCCTAGTTCTCCTCTGGTATCAATATTTGAATTGGTACCATCTGTGATTCAATGACTTGTGCGCACTTTTAGGTGGAGCTTGATCTTTAGGTTATGGTTTTGGGACTACATGTGTTCAAGTCTTATCTTTGTAGGGCCTCTTGTTGTGATAAAGGGGATATGTGAAGTACGGTCCTATACACCCCAAATGCCTTGTTCCCCTAAGTGGAAGAATAGTACTACTGATATGTACAACTTCGCTACTAATACCCCTCTTTGTGTGAGATTCATGTAGTAAAATTTATTCTTGAGGACCATTTTGGGATGGATGATAAAGGGGGAAGAGGATGAAGTCAAAACGAGCTTTCCTTTGGAATCTATGAAAATTGAAGCAAGCTTCCACAAATCTTTGTGGCACATGGACGTGAAGGAAGTGAGGAAAAGGAGGAGACCGGGATTTAAGGGGCAGTGCATATACCTAGTGTCAAAAAGGGGGGAGAACTGAAAATTTGTTGATTCCAGTTACATAGAGGAAGCACAACATGAAAACTGGAATGCCTTGGAATAAATTTCTTCAAGTGGGATCAAGTCGGGGCATTTCCAAGTGATGGCATGACTTCAAAAGGCGCAGAAAAGTGAATACCACACTAGCTAGTTTCAAGAAACATTACAAGTTACAAGTGGCATCAAGAGCATCCAACCAAGCTTGCTTAGTGCATACGTTCTTCAATTGAGTCTATTCGATGCAATTTTATGCTTGCTTTGATTGAGTTGTCTTGAACCACTCAAAAGAGGGAGCTTGTAATAAATATGGGCAGTTAGCCCTATTCAATGTGTAATTTTGGTGATCTTGATGACAACCGAATCACTAGGGCAAACATGTGTGTAGAGATGTGTTAGACATGTTTATATAGGTACTAGGGATGCAAAGGTCCAAGTTTAGTCAAGATCCAAGCACAAATGGAGTCAAAACACTTGCCAGATCAAACACCAAATCAGTTGATCAAAAGGCATAGATAAGCCAGTGACCATCAGTAAGCTTGGCCGGAGAATACATAGTCCACCAGATGATATGGTGAAGAGAAGAACCACCTGAAGGATCATCTGGTGAACAAGTCTGATGATCCTGGAGAACAATGCCATTGGATAATACTGTGATATAAATGTGATATACAAGAGTACTTGGTGGATCATTCGGTGATCATCAGTACCGTGGCCAACTATTGGATTCTCTCACATTCCCACATGATGACACAGTGGAGTACTTTATCCGTTCCAAATTATAAGATATTCTAATATTTTTAGAGAGTCAAAACATCTTAAATTTAACCGAAAATTATAGAGAAAATTATAAAGATTTATGACATTAAATAGATATACTATGAAAATATAATTAATAAAGAATCTAATTATACTTATTTTATATAATAAATGTTATTATTTTATTATATGTATTTGGTCAAACTTAAGATGCTTTGACTCTACAAGAAAGTTAGAATGTCTTATAATTTGGGACGGAGAAAGTACTTGTGTAAGCCTTTGGATCATCTGTTGAGGTGGGTCCTATGTTAGTGAGTGAAGGGTCAACAATGTCGAGTAGGGAATTGTCGGGAATATGATATCCCGGGTATCTCCAGGCACCGATTAGATAGCCTCTTGGGTGGCCCACGGTACGCCGGCTAGTATAAGCCCAAACGATCGAGGCCCACCTAAGCTAAGCGGACCGGGCCAAACACTAAGGTCGGGGGTCACCATGACCCCTCCATCTGCCTCAGCCGCACGTCACACGAGGACTCACAACCACTCCATCGTTCCGGACCTTGGGTGGAATGGGAGAGACTAAGTCTAGCCAAGCGTGCCTGCTCCTGAGCAGGCACGCCACACTGACCCCGCAAGGACCGAGGGGACATCGGTCACCTCTGTCCGGTCAGACGCCATCCCTGTGCTACGCAGCAGAGACAAGACAACACCACCATGCGGTGATGGCCAGTACGGTGACCCATCGTCCAAATATGGCCCGACGAGACACACGTACGACTTCACCCACTATGGGATGGGCTCCATGACGATGGCTTTGACTTAGAGGCCATCCAAGCCAATAAGGGCCACGACCCCGGAGCCCGAGATCGTGGCCACCAACTTCACAGGCTAACAAGACGACCAACGACCTAGGGTGGCTACCAACTCCTGTACGACGCCCCTAGGAGATTAGGAAGCGATGACGAAGGCCATGACGAAGATCACGTCATCTAGGACGGCTGGCGAAACACCGTGCCCATAGTGCTGCCACGAACGACACTATGGCACCATGTCACACCATGCTGTGACGTGGACACAAGATCATGATGACAACCACGTCCAGACGTGTAGGACAAGACGACGTTACATGCGAGCCAAGTTAGCTAGGTTCCCTCCCTCAGGCTCATGACTCCTCGGTCAGGAGAACCTCCTTCTTTGTATGTGACCTGGCCCCGAACTCTATATAAGGGCATCTAGGACACCCTTCCCTTCTAGAAATCTCTTCATCATCTTCACCATTCCTGGACTTTCAAAGCTTGTCATTTGGGCAGTACCTCTTCCACCATTCTTGCACCTCCCATTGTAAGAACTTCAGAGCATTCAAGCGAGGAACACGCACTCAATCATCTCTGAGAATGGACATAGGGCTCCGGCCTAAACCAGTATAAATCCTTATGTCTTTTGGATGCTACCATCGTCTTCCTAGAGCAGTGTGGCAATCGTATAAATTCACGAGTCTAGTTTACAAAAGACCGATAGTTGGCGCGTCAGGTAGGGGATAGTCGTGCACTCTCGTTTGTTGAGAAGGAAACTGTAAGTGCATTTAGCCCTTTAGTGTGTTTTGGTGAATTGAATGGCAACACCATTAAAGGTCTAATAAGTTTGCTAAGTTCTGAACAGAAAATTGAGTTTATTGCATACACTTGTGGATTGTGGAATGAGAAGTTTATATAGGTTCAACAGGAAGGCAAACTTGATGATATTCCACATAATGTTCATATCAAGGCCAAATTGTGTATTGTTGAGTTGATGAAATGACTTCTATATTGTGGGATATCATAGTATCATGAGAAAGCAAACATATTTGGCAAATGGTAAATGAGACATGAGTTGATGATTTTGGATTGGTCTCAATAATGGCTTGCTTTGCATGAACAAGAAGAATTTGATAGCGGATTAGCTTTGATCAAGGATTGAAGAATGAGTCAAGAATGCATAAGTGAAGAATACCAAGCAAAGGTTAACAAAGGACACAACTCAGGGCAGTCCCAACGGTGTATTGATGATAATTTCTATCCTCATTAAATGACTTGCCATGTAGGTAAAATGCTGACATGGCAACGTAATTAATGAAGGAAGAGAGCAAAAATCATAGAAATGGTTTCCTCATGAAGAAATCAGGTCTTCTCTTGACCCAATGCACCAAGAAACCATGAAATCGCCATTGGGGAGAAACCACCAGTTTTTAGGGGGCTCGTGCCACACTCCCATTGGAGGAAGAAGATAGAGTTGGGAGAGAGAAAGAGAAAATAATTATTACACAAAGACACCTCCACTGTGAAAGGTAGTTTCTATAGATGATTTCTTGTGCTATGGAAACCACATCGGTTTCTTCCATTGGGACTGCCCTCATATTGGAAATAAATTGGTCTCTATGTTGGTTTGCTTGTATGGATAACGATTTGGAAAATCACTTTACATTGATTTGATCATGCTAGAAGCATAAAGATAGATATTGAAGTGAGTGTTACGAGTGTCAAGCCAAAATGAAGAGGACATAAGGAATCATGATTTGGCTTGACCATATTGATGTTGATTCATATATCTCAATCTATGTGAATTCAACTGAAGCTTGATTGATCTCAACATTCATATCTAGAATATATTCAAGCAAGGATCATAATATTGAATAAATAGTTTTTCAATGGATGCTTAATATGATGTGACTTGAGTATGGCTCGATAAAGTGCAGATAGCAAGGAAAGGGTTTCGAGGGACTAAGCGTAGGTGAAGGGCAAGCAATGGATTAAGGACCGAGGTACCATTGCTAAGGTGAAGAAGAGAGTACTTGCATTGAGTCGAGGAACTAATCGAGCTATGAGGAGTTATATTGTGTTGAGGATCAAATCATTAGTAGATGTGACTTGAAGCCATGAGATGAACTCATATGTATGGAAATGGTTCAAGTCACATGCTCAAGGTATGTTTGCTTAAAGAGAGGAGACAAAGTTGATTGCAACCCCTTATGAAGTGATTTGAGAAGAAATGACATATAAAGACATTGTAGACTCAAGTGGTTGAAATGGTTATGTTCTCTTGATGTTGAGTATAGGTATGCCGTACTATCAATGGAGATGTAATATGAATCATAGACAAGTCTCAAGTGCTCAAACTAATCGAACCCAAGTG